TTAGATGCTCTGTGGACACGCAGGGGCTGCACAGTGGGAAGGGATCCATCGCAGCCTCGCTGCCCCGCTGCTGCTTTCACGCCTTGCGGGGCTGTTTCCCCACCTGGCCTGGCTGCAGCTTCTCCCCGGCCTCTGCAGGAAGGCCTTGAGCATCCCCTGAGCCTGTGCCCAAAATGCCCCACGGGCCCTGCAGAGCAGGAGATGCCCTGCAATTGCCTGGTCTCCCGGCAGCTCCGGTGTGGCGGCTGTTTGGAGGAGGGAGTGCCCTGACCTTGACCCAGAAGCCCGGCTGTTTTCCTGGACCTTTTCCATGTCTTTTCTAAGCATTGCCTCCTGAAGATGCCTCCTCCCTTATGGAGAACAGCTCCATCTGATCCAGCTGTCCCTCTTGCTTCCCTCAGTGATGGACAAAGTGGCTCTGTGGAAGGCGGCGTTCCCCAAAGGAAGCAGTGGCTCCGTTCCAGGCTCTGCTGACGGAAGGGAGGCGATGCCAGGCACGGGCACACGGGGTAATTGCTGTGGCGTGCTCAGCCGGTGTGGGCCATCGGGGTGGCTGTGGCAGCAGCTCTTCCCCAGTGCCCGCTCGTGCCCGTCACGGCAGCAGCCAAAGCTGAAAGCGCGATGGGTTCGCGGCATCTGGAGCACGTTCTGCAGCCCCTGGAAACGGAACTCTGGCCCCAAGGTCCCTCCCGCTGCAGCTGCTCCCGGAGCTGGCCCTGAGTCTCGAGGGGCCCAAGGCACCAGAGCAGCCCAGAGTGGGATCCCTCCCACGAGCCGAGGGCCAGAGCCTTCCCTGGCCCCCACACTGGGCAGGGGCTCCTGTGTCTCCTGAGAGGGCCTGACTCTGTCCCCTTGGGCTGTGGGAGCTGTCCCGGGACAGGGAGGGTCAGGGTTTGCACTGCCTGCTGCAGTCTTCCCCAGGACTTTAGCCAGGGATTACTGTGTGTGGGAGAGAGCCCCGAGGGGCCCTTGGCTGCTCCAGTCTCTCCTCCAGGGATCTTGCACAGGACCTGGAAAGAGTGTGGAGAGCAGCCAGGAGCCAGCCCAGAGCTGCCCAGGCCCCTCTGCAGCTCTGGCCATGCCCATTGACATCTGGCCCCCACAGTGCTCCCCGACCCCCCTGCAGTGCCACAGTTCTCTGAGGCAGAAGGGGATCCCAGCACACAATGGAAATGGTTCCCATCTCTGTTTGCTTCTAGATGAGGGTGCTGGGAATGCTTCTCCAGTAGATTGGCTGCGTAAAGTTTTGGAGCCCTTGCAGTCTCCTGCAGGTATGTTCTCAATGTGCACTCAAAAAATAATCATTGACAAGATGGCAAGAGCCAGGTGACAGAAGCTTCTCTGGTTGTTGCGCTACAGGGGTGTCCATGGGTAGGACTATTCCATCTCCTAATCTGGTTGCTTCGCAAAAAGCTGGCTCCCATCGTAGGGGTGAGTAGTCTGTCCCTGCTGAGCTCACAGGCTGAGCTCTGGTTTTCTCTAATCCGTTCATGTCAAATGGAACTACTTCCCATTCAGGTCGTCCAACATCCAAGAACAAAGTTAAAGATGGAGAGAAATCCCAGGAGCCATCAGAGGCCATGAGAGAATTGCTGAAGGAAATGCTGCAGGGAGGGCACGGTGGGTGTGTTTCCCTCAGGCTGAGCCGTGAGACTCATCAGTGGGGCTTTAGATGCTCTGTGGACATGAAGGGGCTGCACAGCGGGAAGGGATCCATCGCAGCCTCGCTGCCCCGCTGCTGCTTTCACGCCTTGCGGGGCTGTTTCCCCGCCTGGCCTGGCTGCAGCTTCTCCCCGGCCTCTGCAGGAAGGCCTTGAGCATCCCCTGAGCCTGTGCCCAAAATGCCCCACGGGCCCTGCAGAGCAGGAGATCCCCTGCAATTGCCTGGTCTCCCGGCAGCTCCGGTGTGGCGGCTGTTTGGAGGAGGGAGTGCCCTGACCCAGCCCCAAAAGCCCGGCTGTTTTCCTGGACCTTTTCCATGTCTTTTCTAAGCATTGCCTCCTGAAGATGCCACCTCCCTTATGGAGAACAGCTCCATCTGATCCACCTGTCCCTCTTGCTTCCCCCAGAGATGGACCAAGGGGCTCTGTGGAAGGCGGCGTTCCCCGAAGGAAGCAGTGGCTCCGTGCCAGGCTCTGCTGATGGAAGGGAGGCGATGCCAGGCACGGGCACACGGGGTAATTGCTGTGGCGTGCTCAGCCGGTGTGGGCCATCGGGGTGGCTGTGGCAGCAGCTCTTCCCCAGTGCCCACTTGTGCCTGTCACAGTCTGAATTTAGTGAGGGTTTGCTCTGGGTGCGAGAGAGCCCTGAGGGGACCTTGGCTGCTCCAAGCTGCTCCTCCAGGGATGTTTCAGTGTGTGCGGAGTGGGCAGAGCATCCAGGAGCCAGCCCAGAGCTGCCCAGGCCCCTCTGCAGCTCTGGCCATGTCCATTGACATCTGGCCCCCACAGTGCTCCCCAACCCCCCTGCAGTGCCACAGTTCTCTGAGGCAGAAGGGGATCCCAGCATGCAATGGAAATGGTTCCCATCTCTATTTGCTTCTAGATGGGGAGAACGACTTGGATTATCTGGAAGTCCTGGTGAATGATGCACTGAATTCCCTGGGGAAACCTGGAGGCAAGTTCTCAGTGTCCCTTTCCTGACAGAATAATCCCTGTCAATGTGGCAAGAGCTCATTCAGGTGCCCTTTTCCTTAAGACCCTCTCGAGGTTGCTGCACTCTGGCAATCTTGGCCTGCTCCGTTCTCAGGCCCAAGAGGGATCCCACAGGATCCCTGTCCGTGGGAGCAGGAAGGAGCATTTAGCTTTTCATCTCCTTTCCATGGAAATGCCAGTTGGTCCCTCCGTGGCCGCTGTGCAGACACGGAGAAGGGCAGAGAGGGAAGGGGTCGGGCCCAGGGCTGTGCCCGGGGCTGTGCCTGGCGCGGCTCCTTTGCCGGCCCCTGGGAGCCTGAGGTGCTCCCGCTGCGGCTGCCGAGCCACGGCCCTGGCTGGGGCTGAGTTGAGAGCTGGGGCAGCTCCAGGGAGTCCCTTGTGCCCTGACAGCTCTGCCTGGGGCTCCTTTGGTCCCAGCCAGGGGCCACTGCAGGCCCGTGGGAGCTCTGCCCCTGCTCCTGAGGGGAGGGCAGAGATGAGGGCCCTGCAGGGATCCCGTGGCCGAGCTGCCCTCACTGCCCCTCCGGCTGAGGGAGAGTCTGCAGCTGTGTCAGGGAGCTCTTCTGTCCTGCCCTTCTTTGGAGCCGAGCCTGTGGGTGATGGGGGTCAGGAACCTGCAGTGGGGCCCAGGGCTGAGCCTCTGGAAGGTCGTGTGGGTACGTCATGGCTTTTCCCCCTTGGAGAGCTGCCAGCTCAGAGTCCAAAGCTGGGCCAGGACAGAGACCTGCCCGTGTGTGCCCTGTCCCCGTGGGATCCCCTCACCCCTCCTGCGCCTCAGGGCTGCCCGTGCAGATCCCCAGAGATGACAGAAGCTTCTCTGGCTGTTGAGTTACAGGGGTGTCCACAGAGAGGACTTTTCCAGCTCCTGAACTGATTCCTCTGCACAAGCCCAGCTCACATGGCAGGGGTGAGTAGCCTGTCCCTGCTGAGCTCACAGGCTGAGCTTTGGTTTTCTCTCATGTCAAATGGATTCCCATTCAGGTCCTCCAACAGCCAAGAACCAAGGTCCAGGAGAGAAAAAATCACTTAAATCAAATGAAGATGTGAAAGAAATTTTGAAGGAACTTCAGAAAGGGCACGGTGGGTGTTTCCCTCAGCTTGAGCCGTGAGACTCATCTGCCGGGGCGTCGGGGATGGTTTTCCCCAGGGCTTTAGCCAGGGTTTCCTGACTGTGGCAGAGAGCCCCGAGGGGCCCTTGGCTGCTCCAGCTGTTTCTCCAGGGATGTTGCACAGGGATGGGAAGAGTGTGCAGAGCGGCCAGGAGCCAACCCAGAGCTGCCCAGGCCCCTCTGCAGCTCTGGCCATGTCCATTGACATCTGGCCCCACAGTGCTCCCCAACCCCTCTGTAGTGCCACAGTTCTCTGAGGCAGAAGGGGATCCCAGCACACAATGGGAATGGTTCCCATCTCTGTTTCCTTCTAGATGAGGGTGCTGGGAATGCTTCTCCATTAGGTTGGCTGCGTGAAGTTTTGGAGCCCTTGGGGCCTCCTGCAGGTAAATTCTCAATTCCCCTCAAAGAATAATAGTTCTATATTTTATACACAATAAACGTGGCAAGAGGCAGGTGTCAGAATCTTCCCTGGCTGTTGAAGTTCCAGGTGTGTCTGCAGAGAGGACTTTTCCATCTCCTATGCTGGTTCCTACACAAGAGTCCAGCTCACATAGCAGGGGTGAGTAGTCTGTCCCTGCTGAGCTCACAGGCTGAGCTCTGGTTTTCTCTAATCCATTCATGTCAAATGAAACTACTTCCCATTCAGGTCCTCCAACAGGCAAGAACAAAGCGAAAGATGGAAGGAAATCCCAGGAGCCATCAGAGGCCATGAGAGAATCGCTGAAGGAAATGCTGCAGGGAGGGCACGGTGGGCGTGTTTCCATCAGGCTGAGCCGTGAGACTCATCAGTGGGGCTTTAGATGCTCTGTGGACACGCAGGGGCTGCACAGCGGGAAGGGATCCATCGCAGCCTCGCTGCCCCGCTGCTGCTTTCACGCCTTGCGGGGCTGTTTCCCCGCCTGGCCTGGCTGCAGCTTCTCCCCGGCCTCTGCAGGAAGGCCTTGAGCATCCCCTGAGCCTGTGCCCAAAATGCCCCACGGGCCCTGCAGAGCAGGAGATCCCCTGCAATTGCCTGGTCTCCCGGCAGCTCCGGTGTGGCGGCTGTTTGGAGGAGGGAGTGCCCTGACCCTGCCCCAAAAGCCCGGCTGTTTTCCTGGACCTTTTCCATGTCTTTTATAAGCATTGCCTCCTGAAGATGCCTCCTCCCTTATGGAGAACAGCAATGGAAATGGTTCCCATCCATGTTTGCTTCTAGATAAGGGTGCTGGGAATGCTTCTCCGTTGGATTGGCTGCGTGAAGTTTTGGAGCCCTTCAGGCCCCCTGCAGGTAAATTGTCCCTCAAAGATTAATCAGTCTAAATTCTAAACCCCATACATGTGGCAAGAGCCAGATGACAGAAGTTTCTCTGGTTGAATTACAGGGGTGTCTGCAGAGATGACTTTTCCAGCTCCTCTGCTGGTTCCACACAAGCCCAGCTCACATGGCAAGGGTGAGTAGTCTGTCCCTGCTGAGCTCACAGTCTGAGCTCTGATTTTCTCTAATCCATTCATGTCAAATGAAACTGTTTCCCTTTCAGGTCCTCCAAAAGGCAAGAACCATCCTTCAGGTGAAAAGAAAGCCCAGGAGCCATCTGAAGGTATGGGAGAAATACTAAATGAACTGGGGTGGGGTCAGGGTGAGTCACTTTCCCTCAGCCTGAGCCGTGGGACTCATCAGTGGGGCTTTAGATGCTCTGTGGACACGCAGGGGCTGCACAGTGGGAAGGGATCCATCGCAGCCTGGCTGGACTGGGGCTCATGTGTCTCCTGAGAGGGTCTGACTCTGTCCTTTCTGGCTGTGGGAGCTGTCCCAGGGCAGGGGGGATCGGTGCTGGTACTGCCTCCAGGCACCCGCACTGAGGGAAACAGAGAACGTCCTGGCCGTCTCCAACGTGCTGTCAGCTTAGCAGGGGTGCCCAGGACGGGCTGACGCTCCCAATTGCTCCCACAGAAGCAGCCGGTGCCACAACACGTGCTCCCAGTACCCAGGAGAGCACTGGCAGAGGTTTCTGTTGGGGAACACGCTGTCTGACGGTGATAATGGCAAGCATGTTGGGCGGTCTGCTTGTCATCACGTTGTGCTGTGCTGCAGTCTGGTACTGGAGGGTGAGAAAAGGGTGAGTTGTTTGCTGCTCTCCCCCTCCAACAGCTTCCTTTGAAGGCAGCTCAGAGCCATGGAACATTCCCAGTCTGGCTGCTGGGGAGCGGCCAGTTAGTCCTTGGCCAGAGAACTCTGCTGAGGGCTCTGCTGCTGTGCAGTGCTGTCACTGCCTCTCCCTGTGTGCCACCCGCAGCTGGGCCTCAGACACCTCCTCTCTCCACAGGCTCCTCTCTGCACCTGCTCCAGACAAGCCAAAGACCTCAGGCAGAAAGAGGTGGAGCTCTCACCCTTTAACATCCCACCTCTAGCCCAGATTCGTTGCCACCACTGCAGCACCTGCTTTTTGATACCAAGGTCCAGCTGCCACCAAAAAGATCCTCTCTGCCCCTGTAACCCACTGATCCCAACCTATGGCACGTACTGAAGTTGGCCCTTTCGTGCCCACCCCTTTAGTTCAAATAAAGATAAGATTCAGCATCACTGGAGTGTCGAGCTGTGCCACCAGCAAAGCCCCAAGGCCCCAGCCCTGGCTGAGCTGCGTGCCTGGGCACAGCCGTGGATGCCCACGGTGTGGGCAGGCAGGAGCCAGGCTGGGGCTCCTGTGACCAGCAGTGGGGCCCCAAGGGCTGGGGGAGCCCGTGGTGAGGGTCCTTGGGCTGAGGGCACCTTTATTGCAGTGGGACCTTCTGGGCCTGGGCCTCCTCAAATAGGTTGCCCAGGAAAGCGGGAAGTCATCGAGAGCATCTGTAGGGACATTGTAATGTCAGCAGGCAGAACAAGGGGTCTCCTTGTCACCTCTGGGTGCTGAGCCCCTGTTCAGATGCTCTCTGAACGAGGCTTTGACTGCCTGGGGAGTAACTCAGCTGTGATCACCCACAAGAAGTGGTGAGGGGCTGCAGTCCCTTGTGAGGCACCCAGGGATATTTTGGGGTATCTCCTGAGGGGTGTAGAGGGCTGAGGTCCTGTGTAAGACTTGCAGGGAGCTGAGGACTGTCAGCAGGAACATTCAGGGGAGGTTGGATTTTCTTCTAAGGCGGGCAGGGGGTTTGGGGTCCTTCATAAGCCGTGCAGGGAGCTGCGGCCCCTCATGAGGTTCTCAGGGGGTCTGGGGCCTCTCCTGTGCTGGGCAGGTGCTTGGGGAGCCCCGTCAGGTTCGCAGAGGGCCGAGTGGGCAGCCTGACGAGCCGGGGGGGCACAACAAGGGACCTCCTCGCTCAGCCCTTGGCTGCAGCTTTTCCCATGAGAATTCTGGTGTAAAGAGCCTCCGAAGGAGCCAAGAGCCAGAGCAGCTCACGAAAACTTTGATGCGAACACGAGGCAGACCCCACCACAGTTCCCCGCTGAGTGACACGGTGGAGATTATGGGAAAGAACGAGCGGGTTCTTTTAGCAGAACTGCAGATCTTTCGCAGCTGGGTCGTGAGCTGATCTCCACTAAAGCTGATCACTCCGTGCTGATCTGCTTTATTGACTCAAAATGGAGGGTTTCTAAGGGACCAGCTAAGGAAGGTTCAGGAACTGGGGAGGAGCATGGGAGGAGTGTTCATAACAGGGAAAGATGATAGGGTAAGCATCGGGGTGTTACAATCAAGGGGATGGATTACAACTATAGTGTAACTGGGGAGTAACTTGATTGGTTAGGGCAGCTACCCCAGGTAAACTGCCCAATCAGAGAGCTGTCGCCGTGCTCAGGAGAGCAAGCCCATAAACTCAAGAAGAAAGTAGCTTAAAATGGTGGCTTCAACCTAATCCTAGGTTTAACAAGGTTGCAATTAATGTAGAGGTCCATTAGGCAGGTTTATTTGGCATGGTGGCATTGGAGGTGACACTGTCCATGTTGTCAGGAGATTCCTCTTTGCACTGGGTGAACTCTTACCTGGCTCTCCAGCCCATCTCCAACAGCTGAGATCCCTCCCCTTCGCAGGGCTCGCAGCCCTTTGATCCCCTGCCCGGAGCACAGGTCCCTCCCCGTGTCCCCAGTGCCGAGGGCCGGGGGGTCACAGCCTTCCCCACACGCCCACACTGTCCCCATTCCACGGCCAGCAGGGGAAGGGTCCCCAGCCTTTCCAAAACGGGGGTTCCTGATTCTTTGCTGCTGCTCGGCCCCCCTGTCTCTGGGCAAACTGCACCTCTCTGTGTCTGACAACTGCGCAGCCCGGCACTTGTCACCTCACTGCAGACTGTGCAGGAACACCGATTCACACCTAATGGAGCCAAACACTCCCTCACAGCCCCGGGCTTGGCGAGGGCACAGGAGGCACTGCGGGGGGACAGCTGAGCCCGTGGCTTCTCACACCAACCGGAGCCTGGCACTGTGAGTTCCGAGGCCACGGCTTAGATGGCAGTGACCACGGCCCACATGTGGGAAGGTGTTGAGGGGCAGAGACTTTCAGTGCTTCTCCCTGGGAAGAGTGGCAGATCCCGTTTGGTTTTGTCTTTACAGTAACTGCCCTCCGTTTATTTTTCTGGAGAGCAAATGTCATAACATACCCAAAAGTGGCTTCTTATTCAGTGTTGTCATAGCTGAGATGCTCGGACAGACGGTACAATTCAAGCACTTGGATGCAAAGCTGTCTGAAGGCAGCAAAGGATAAAGTGACAGAGGACACTGTTCAGTTCTTAGGGCAGAGAGAGTGGAAACAGAAAGGGCTCCCACAACTAAAGAGCTGCATGTTCACTGTTGGTGTTTAATACATCCCTTTCCCTGCAGTAGAGCTTGTTATCTCTTCCCAAGGCTGGTGTTTCTCTGTTCCAGTCACTGGAAGCCCATGGCTGCCGGAATGCAAATGCCATTGCAACTGTCAAGGGAACTGGGAGCCTAAACTGCAATAGAGGCAGAGCCAGCCTTTTTCCTTGAATCTCGTGGAAGTCCAGTCTGCAATGGATTCATTGCTTGCTGGTGTTGGCTAAGCCTTGTGCTGGAACAAAGGGCCCAGCACTTGGATGGAGCAGGCAGGGACGGATCACGGGCCCATGGTGCTGGCGTTTCTGCAGCTGCCCCGATTGCCTGCCTTGGATTGTTTTTAGGAATTACGACACAGAGTCCTTCCCTGTTTAAATATGGGCCAAACCCCAGCACGGAGTGCACAGCACACACTCGGTGTCGGCGTGGCGGGGGAAGAGCTGGCAGGTGCTGCCTGCAAGAGTGGGAATCCCTGACAGGAGCTGAATGTTGGACTTGGCATTGATATTGCAGGTAGAGCCATGAAACGTCTCCCTTGTGCAGTGTCACATAAACCAGTTCTGATGAAAACAAGTGGATTGGACAGAGCTGTGGGGGGGGACGTGCTACCCTTCTGTGAGGGCAGCTCCTGAGATGTGTCCTCACAATCCCACCCAGGCAGTGAGGTCACAGCAGGGCTGTGAGGTCACAGAGCCCCGTGGTCCCACAGCACCACAATGACCAACCACTCGGTCCCTGACTACAACTGTTGCGGCAGCAGCGGCGGCGGCAGCGGTGTCAGAGTTGGTGGCGTTTGGAGAGTGATTTCTGGACAGTGATTGCTAGATAGTGATTACTGGACAGAATTTACTGGACAGTGATTCCTGGACAGTGATTGCTGGACAGAGTTTACTGGATAGTGATTGCTGAACAGAGTTTACTGGACAGTGATTACTATACAGAGCTTAAAGAACAGCGTTGTCAGGACAGAGGGGGCAGCAGTAGCTGCGGGACGGTGTGAGGGCGAGGGGCCATGGCCCTTGCTCTGCGCCTCTCCCTCCTCCTCCTCCTGGCAGTGGCCCTGCACGCCAGGGCTGCCCAGGCTGCTCCGGTGCCAGCGCGGGGAGCAGGTGAGCCGGCAGCCTGGGGCACCTTTCCCGGCCCAGCGGGCTCTTCTCCCTGGGAAGGGTCAGGGATGGTTTTCCCCAGGGCTTTAGCCAGGGTTTCCTGGATGCGGGAGAGAGCCCCGAGGGGCCCTTGGCTGCTCCAGCTGCTCCTCCAGGGATGTTGCACAGGGATGGGAAGAGTGTAGAGAGCGGCCAAGGAGCCAGCCCAGAGCTACCCAGGCCCCTCTGCAGCTCTGGCCATGTCCATTGACATCTGGCCCCCACAGTGCTCCCCAACCCCCTGCAGTGCCACAGTTCTCTGAGGCAGAAGGGGATCCCAGCACGCAATGGAAATGGTTCCCATCTCTGTTTGCTTCTAGATGAAGGTGCTGGGAATGCTTCCCCATTAGATTGGCTGCGTGAAGTTTTGGAGCCCTTGGAGCCTCCTGCAGGTAAATTCTCAATTCCCCTCAAAGAATAATAATTCTATGTTTTATACACAATAAACGTGGCAAGAGGCAGGTGTCAGAATCTTCCCTGGCTGTTGAAGTTCCAGGTGTGTCTGCAGAGAGGACTTTTCCATCTCCTTTTCTGGTTGCTACACAAGAGCCACAGCCCAGCTCACACGGCAGGGCTGAGTAGTCTGTCCCTGCTGACCTCACAGACTGAGCTTTGGTTTTCTCTAATCTGTTCATGTGAAATGGAACTACTTCTCATTCAGGTCCTTTAAAAGGCATGAGGCAAGCTGAAGGAGACCAAAATTTCCTTGAATCAAATGAAGTCCTGAGAGAAATTTTGAAGGAACTGCTGAAAGGCCAAGGTGGGTCTATTTCTCTCAGCCTGAGTTGTGAGACTCATCAGCCAGGGGCTTTAGATCAGTCACATCTGATCCAGTTACAACTCTTGCTTCCCCAGAGATGGACCAAGAGGCTCTGTGGAAGGCAGCATTCCCCAAAGGAAGCAGTGGCTCCGTGCCAGGCTCTGCTGACGGAAGGGAGGCGATGCCAGGCACGGGCACACGGGGTAATTGCTGTGGCGTGCTCAGCCGGTGTGGGCCATCGGGGTGGCTGTGGCAGCAGCTCTTCCCACAGTGCCCACTCGTGCCTGTCAAGGCAGGAAGAGCATAACAGAACAGATTATTAATCCTGAGCAGACTCAGGGGACTCGGGTACTGAGCAGTCCACCTGAGG